TTTTCTTTGGAATAAGGAAAATGACAGAAGCCTCTTCCACGTACTACTAATCCTCTTCTATGAATTCTATACGAAGCAACAAGACCGATTCTTTTTACAACATGATAGAGATAGTAAAATAAGGAAGGAATTGGATAGGGTAGCCCTGGGTGAAGACATCTAGTATCCACTTATCAGCTATAATCTACAAGCGTGTGCAATAGTAGAAGACAAGGCAATTTCCAAAGACTGGCCATGGGAAGGTGTTAGTGTAGCTCTCTACCATCTAATCAAACCTTCAGTCTCTGGGATGGAGCTTGGCACATGATGGGGAAGTTGATGGGTGCCTCCTGGGCAGATATTCTAATTGTGGGAATAAGATGCTGGTCTCTATTTACTGAAACTCTTTTTAGTCTTATGTTGAAAATGCTTTCTTGTTAATATATTTGATATTAGTGTTCTAAATAGACTAAGTAGTACAAGTATACCTATGTCTTATGAAAAAGTTAACATTAATTGTACAAACTTAATGTAGTTAAGAAGCTTCAGGGGGTAGCCGAGTTAGTCTGTACAGGAATAAACAACAAATGGTCTGGTAGCACTTTATAGACTAATGAAACATGTAGATGGTATCATGACCTTTCATGGGACTTCAAAACTCTGGTCATCTGAAGAAGTGGGCTGTGCCCACGAAAGCTCATGATACCATCTACATATTTTGTTAGTCTATAAAGTTCTACCAAACCATTTGTTGTTTTAATGTAGTTGGTTATTACTCAAAAAAGCATGCTACTGAATGCTGAGCTCTTAACACAATGAGAATATGGAACATTAGGTGGTAAAAAATTTTAATTTTAATATAATGAAAAACCTAACTCTTTGAACAGACTCCCAACTAAGATGCAGGTTTTCTTTCAAATATTTGGAACATTTACATATAAAATTGTAATAACAACAGAGAGGAAGATGTGATAGGTTAAAACAATGTATAACATCAAATTACTTTTTTTAATAATGGCTCCTATAACAGATTTCAGCTGACATCTCAACAATAAACTATACAAAATCCATTCACTACTATTACATTGCTGAAACACATTTGCACAGAATGTGGAAAAGCATTGATTTCAGAATCACCATAGTCAGTCTGTGAAATCTGCACAATTCCCATAAATAATTCTTCCAGTGGTCCATGTAACAGAACAGGCCCATCAGTAAAGTACTTAAATGCACTTTTTCATTCAAAGTGGTGTGGAGATTTGTTTTATAAGAGAGACAGTTGAGTTTAGCCTGTCAAAGATATTAGCCACATAAAATACAGAAGCGTACTTATAGCCATTTTACTGACAGAAAGAATTTAGGTTATGGCTAGAAGCTTTACTAAATGACAAAAAATAGTTTGAATCTATAAAGCAAAGCAAAACTAGAATTCTGACACAAATAAGCACTTAGTTGTAATTATATTTTTAAGTTCAAATTTATCTTGCCATTACATGTGTAATTTACAATTTTGCAGAATGAAAATGTGTGTCATACAGGTCACTTTCTCCCCTTGTTTAAAACTGAGTCATCCTTAAGTAACTTTTTTTTAAAATTATACTGTTCTACTTAGCTGCCTATTGCTAAAAACAGCCAATTTCTGAGGATATCGTAACTAAAATTAAGGATTTATTTCATCATAATATTAACTATTTTTCTTTACTTTATCAATCACTACTTAATCCATTAGTACATCTATTCAATCTACTGATGTAACAAAACAATTGCATAATTTTAAAAGTGCACAAAGAAGTATAAGGAACCTTAAATATGCATTATTTTGATTTGATTAGCTCACCTACTCGACCAACTGCAAAACTGTAGCTATCAAAAATGCTTTAAGCAACCTCCCCGCCCAACCGCCCCCCACAAAAACCCCTATTTCTTATACCAAAATACAATGCATTACTTTCATAATTAAGCTGTTTTTTAAAACTGTAAATAAAATTGAAAATTTAAAAATTCTTGCATTCCTTTTCATTGCTTCACAAGCTATTTGAAGCATGTCACATTTATTTTTTAATTTTAAACAGAAAATTAAACATATTTACTCTAAGGTCTCAAAAAAATTCCAACATATTCATTGGCAGACAGGCTTTAAAAGCATCTTCATTATAGTGCTCCCAATTTGCATCCAATTATTTCTCATTACTTGCTTTGGAAAGGCAGATGCTTATGAAAATATAATTCCTGATAGCTCATACTGTAGGCATTCTGAAAATACTGAAGTACTGTTAGTGTCCCATAGCTTTGAACTCTAAATTGCTAAGAAATCTACAGACTGAAGCAGCTGCATATTATCTGAGCTTGACTGGCATGTTCTGAAAACCCTATCACAGAATCAGCAATTTGAAGCAGATTCAAAAAAGTTAGTTACATTATGGATAATAGGCCAATAACAAGTCATCATGTGAATAGCAGGTGGATTTTCTGAAGAGAAACACACACCTTTGATATTAACAAATGTAAAGTCCTGAATTAATTTCACACATTTTCAGGGTTTAGGCCTCGTACACACTAATTATTGGATGGTGTTCCACCTAAAATAGATGGTTTCCCACTACTAGTGGCATTGAATTTATAGTGTAAGCAAAGTTCAGTTTGAGGTTTGGCTGGACAGCTTTACCACTCAGTCATCTCACCATGGCTTAGAACAGAAAATATGATTTATGGTAAAAATTCCTGAACCTGGTGTACTCTGCAGCCTCTGCCTCTCTGGTACTATCAAGTTTCTGCATTCTAAGTACCTGTCTCTCTCAATCAAGAGGCATCTCTATCAGTGCATCAAAATTTCTGAATGTGTTCAATTACTGAAGTCACAACTTAGTCTTATGTTGGAAGCACGCCAAGACAGGGAATCCAATGAGGTTTCTATGGAAAAGTTATTTCTGTAATGATCAGTTACCAGAAATAATTTTCATAATTTAACATGATATAAACTTCTCATTCACTTTAATGGAAAATGTAAGGACAAAAAAAGACCTTTGCAGTGTATTTAAAATATCATAGAAAGAAAGCTAAGCATCATGTAGTGGAATAAATAGAGAACTGAACAAAAATCCTGAAGTGTAATCCCAACTCTGATAGTGACTCCTTTTGGTTTCTAACATGGGTATACTTCTCTATGGAGTGCTCTATCATTACAATGTGTTATTATTCATAAACTAATGGAAGAAACCTTTTTCGCCACCAGTTGCCTGTCAATTTGTGGTTATTCCCAACTATTAAAATTCTTCATATTCTTCCTTAATTTCTGCAATCTCCAACTAAAATATGTCAATGTTCTAACGGTATAGCACAGTAATAAAGTTTTCCTTAAATTTTCAGTTTGTCAGTAGGAGAGAAAAGATTAGAAGATGAGGAGCTTCCAGTGGCTGTAGGGACTTTGTATATTGGCCAAATTGGATAGTCTGTGACAAAGGATAAATTAACACAAATCAGACATCAGAAGTGGTAACACACATTGAACTATAAGTGGAACATTTTAACTGTGCTGAACACTCAATCATGGATTTAAAAGAAGCCATTCTTCTACAAAGGAGTTTCACTACCCAATTAGAGAGAGACTCTGCTAAGCTGGAATTCATTTGCAAATTTGACACTGTTACCCTGAGCTTGAATAAAGACATTAACTAGTTAACATACTACAAAAGCCAATTTCTCCTGCCTTTGACATTAGCATTTTCACATCAAAATCTACGATTGGGACACATCCAGCCCACTTAATTAGCTTAATTAACATGGGTCCTACAATTGATGGGTAAATGCTTTTGCTTTATTAATTATTATTATTATCGTTGTTATTATAAATAATGATAATACATCTTAGACTGTTGTTTCCACTCAAACTCATCTGATGAAGTGGTTTTTACCCACAAAAGCACATGCTAGATACACACACACACACACACACAGATAGATAATGTAAGGTGCCACAGTCCACACCTTTAAAAACAAGTAGTCTTAAAAGATTTTGAGCCACATGTTTGCTTAATAGAAGAGTATTCTACTAACCGCAACAGCAATACATAGAAGGTGGATCTAATATTCTGTTTACGCACATGTGCCATCGATTCAATCTAAGCCCTTAACACACTATTGGGCTCATCTAGACTACGCTAAAGTGTCGAAAGAGGATATGCAAATTGAGGAAATTTGCATATTTTCTTCTGATCTCAGCCCATTGTGATATTTGCATTTAATTACTTACTATCATTTGAAGAAGTGGGCTGTGCCCATGAAAGCTCATATCACCATCTACATGTTTTGTTAGTCTTTAAAGTGCTGCCAGACTATTTGTTGTTTAAGTTTTTCCTGTTACAGACTAACTCGGCTACCCCTCTGAATTTTTTTGCAGTAAATAAGTAACTTTAAATGATGTTTAATTAATCTCTTCATTTTGATAATAGCAGCAGGAAAATATTATTGAGTTTAAAATACAGTATTAGAAATCTCAGACAAAAATCAGAACTGTCCATACATTCTTAAGGGTCACCAATGACAGTGGTCAATCAGTAGGAAAAAGTCAAATCTTGTATAGGGAAGTTTCCTTTTTCTATGTAAAATATTTCTTCTGAGCGTACTGTGAAAATACTACAAACTACAGCAAATAAGATAGAAATTGTCAAAATACAGAGCTACAGTATTCTTACGTGAAGGATGACAAGTGAGGATCAGAAAAATAATTTCTCTATGGTTTTTTTTAAAATGTAGCACAGGAACCTATGAAGATACGTAAAAATTGATTATTTTCAAAAGCACCCCCAAAAAAAGTACACAAAGTGCAATAAACTATGATTTAATACATTATTTAAGCTGTCAGCCAGTTCCACTCACTGGCACCTATTATCAAGTGTCATCAAACTCCTTGTCTACTGGCAACACAAGATCTCACATAATTCTATTACAGTTACTGTAGTTTATAAGGAGAAAGTTGTATAATCAGTTTGTTATAAAAATGAATGTTATTGTATTGGACTTACCTAGTCCTTTAGGAGTAATGCCACTGCTATCAGCAGGATTAACTACCCAGTAGTAGTATTTCAGTGTGTGCATTAGCTGTAGTACTGTTCCTACTCTGCGTATGGTGGTGTAGATAGTAGCAGTGCCAATAAATTCAGCAGATAAGTAGGTATACAGTGAAAGCTGTACCTGAAATATAAAATTATAGCCCACAGATAAAACATTTTATTTTATTTTCATATAAATAAAAAGTTAAACATAAATGAATTAAAATAAATTCTATAATGTTTAATTTGTTTTTTCCACTGGCTCATATTTTGCCTGCTTAAAGTAGGATTTTTCAAATTTTAAAGCTGTATTGCATTTTGCTTTCATTCAAAGCCTTAAATCACAGGGAATGAAAACAACTACAGGTTGATTACTATTGGAGATGATCAATCATTTCTATCACATATCAGAGGGGTAGCCGTGTTAGTCTGAATCGGCAGAAGCGATGAGGAGTCCTGTGGCACCTTATAGACTAACTGAAGTGTAGGAGCATAAGCTTTCGTGGGCAAAGACCCACTTCGTCAGATGCATGTAGTGGAAATTTCCAGAGGCAGGAATAAATATGCAGGCCAGGATCAGGCTGGAGATGACCAGGTGGATCCAATCAAGGAGGATGAGGCCCACTTCTAGCAGCTGATCTGGAGGTGTGAATTCCAAGAGAATAGAAGCTGCTTTTGTAGTTAGCAAGCCATTCACAGTCTTTGTTTAATCCAGAGTTGATTGTGTCAAACTTAAAGATGAACTGTAGCTCAGCAGTTTCTCTTTGAAGTCTGGTCCTGAAGTTTTTTTGCTGCAGGATAGCTACTTTTAGATCTGCAATTGTGTGTCCAGGAAGATTGAAGTGTTCCCCTACAGGTTTTTGTATGTTGCCATTCCTAATATCAGATTTGTGTCCATTGATTCTTTTACGTAGGGACTGTCCTGTTTGGCCGATGTATATAGCAGTGGGGCATTGTTGGCACATGATGGCATATATTACGTTGGTGGATGTGCAGGAGAATGTACCAGTGACAGTATGGCTGATCTGGTTAGGTCCTGTGATGGTGTTGCTGGTGTATATATGTGGGCAGAGTTGGCACCGAGGTTTGTTGCAAGGATTGGTTCCTGAGTTCGAGTTATTATGGTGCGGTGTGTAGTTGCTGGTGAGAATATGCTTCAGGTTGGCGGGTTGTCTGTGGGCAAGGACCGGCCTACCTCCCAAGGCCTGTGAGAGCGAGGGGTCATTGTCCAGGATGGGCTGAAGATCACTAATGATGCGTTGGAGAGGTTTTAGCTGGGGACTGTAGGTGATGGCCAGTGGTGTTCTGTTGGTTTCTTTCTTGGGCTTGTCCCGTAGCAGGAGGCTTCTGGGGACACGTCTGGCTCTGTCAATCTGTCTCCTCACTTCCTCGTGTGGGTATCGCAGTTTACAGAATGCTTGTTGAAGGTCTTGTAGGTGTAGGTCTCTGTCTGAGGGGTTGGAGCATATGCGGTTGTACCTCAGTGCTTGGCTGTAAACAATGGATCGTGTGGTGTGTCCGGGATGGAAACTGGAGGCATGCAGGTAAGTATAGCGGTCGGTAGGTTTTCTGTATAGGGTGGTATTGATATGACCGTCACTTATTTGTATCGTGGTGTCCAGGAAATGGACCTCCCGTGGAGATTGGTCCATGCTGAGGTTGATGGTGGGGTGGAAGCTGTTGAAATCATGGTGAAATTCTTCCAGAGTCTCCTTCCCATGGGTCCAGATGATGAAGATGTCATCGATGTAGCGTAGGTAGAGAAGGGGTGTAAGTGGACGAGAGCTGAGGAAGCGTTGTTCCAGGTCAGCCATAAAAATGTTGGCGTATTGTGGGGCCATGCGGGTGCCCATAGCAGTGCCACTGGTCTGGAGGTATAAGTTGTCACCAAATCTGAAATAGTTGTGTGTGAGGATAAATTCACAGAGTTCAGCCACCAGTTGTGCTGTGGCATCATCAGGAATACTGTTCCTGACAGCTTGTACTCCATCTGCATGTGGGATGTTTGTGTAGAGAGCCTCTACATCCATGGTGGCTAGGATGGTGTTTTCTGGAAGATCACCTATGCATTGTAGTTTTCTCAGGAAATCCGTAGTGTCACGAAGGTAACTGGGAGTGCTGGTGGCGTAGGGTCTGAGCAGAGAGTCCACATAGCCAGACAGTCCTCCCAGTTACCTTCGTGACACTACGGATTTCCTGAGAAAACTACAATGCATAGGTGATCTTCCAGAAAACACCATCCTAGCCACCATGGATGTAGAGGCTCTCTACACAAACATCCCACATGCAGATGGAGTACAAGCTGTCAGGAACAGTATTCCTGATGATGCCACAGCACAACTGGTGGCTGAACTCTGTGAATTTATCCTCACACACAACTATTTCAGATTTGGTGACAACTTATACCTCCAGACCAGTGGCACTGCTATGGGCACCCGCATGGCCCCACAATACGCCAACATTTTTATGGCTGACCTGGAACAACGCTTCCTCAGCTCTCGTCCACTTACACCCCTTCTCTACCTACGCTACATCGATGACATCTTCATCATCTGGACCCATGGGAAGGAGACTCTGGAAGAATTTCACCATGATTTCAACAGCTTCCACCCCACCATCAACCTCAGCATGGACCAATCTCCACGGGAGGTCCATTTCCTGGACACCACGATACAAATAAGTGACGGTCATATCAATACCACCCTATACAGAAAACCTACCGACCGCTATACTTACCTGCATGCCTCCAGTTTCCATCCCGGACACACCACACGATCCATTGTTTACAGCCAAGCACTGAGGTACAACCGCATATGCTCCAACCCCTCAGACAGAGACCTACACCTACAAGACCTTCAACAAGCATTCTGTAAACTGCGATACCCACACGAGGAAGTGAGGAGACAGATTGACAGAGCCAGACGTGTCCCCAGAAGCCTCCTGCTACGGGACAAGCCCAAGAAAGAAACCAACAGAACACCACTGGCCATCACCTACAGTCCCCAGCTAAAACCTCTCCAACGCATCATTAGTGATCTTCAGCCCATCCTGGACAATGACCCCTCGCTCTCACAGGCCTTGGGAGGTAGGCCGGTCCTTGCCCACAGACAACCCGCCAACCTGAAGCATATTCTCACCAGCAACTACACACCGCACCATAATAACTCGAACTCAGGAACCAATCCTTGCAACAAACCTCGGTGCCAACTCTGCCCACATATATACACCAGCAACACCATCACAGGACCTAACCAGATCAGCCATACTGTCACTGGTACATTCTCCTGCACATCCACCAACGTAATATATGCCATCATGTGCCAACAATGCCCCACTGCTATATACATCGGCCAAACAGGACAGTCCCTACGTAAAAGAATCAATGGACACAAATCTGATATTAGGAATGGCAACATACAAAAACCTGTAGGGGAACACTTCAATCTTCCTGGACACACAATTGCAGATCTAAAAGTAGCTATCCTGCAGCAAAAAAACTTCAGGACCAGACTTCAAAGAGAAACTGCTGAGCTACAGTTCATCTTTAAGTTTGACACAATCAACTCTGGATTAAACAAAGACTGTGAATGGCTTGCTAACTACAAAAGCAGCTTCTATTCTCTTGGAATTCACACCTCCAGATCAGCTGCTAGAAGTGGGCCTCATCCTCCTTGATTGGATCCACCTGGTCATCTCCAGCCTGATCCTGGCCTGCATATTTATTCCTGCCTCTGGAAATTTTCACTACATGCATCTGACGAAGTGGGTCTTTGCCCACGAAAGCTTATGCTCCTACACTTCAGTTAGTCTATAAGGTGCCACAGGACTCTTCATTTCTATCACATTTCTTAACACAGAAAAGATGAATTACTAGAAATTCAGTATAAAGAATACGTTATATTTACAGGATTTTTTGCCTTTGGCTTACAATTAGGGTACATCTAAACTACACACCTCTGTCAGCAGAGGGCTGTAAATTAGATGTATCAAAAGTGCAAATGAAGCCAGGATTTAAATATTCTGTGCTTCATTTGCATAATGGAAGCCGCTTCTTTTTTCTGAAACGGCTTTTTGAAAAAACCCGGCAGTTTAGACGGGGCATTTTCAACAGAAATGCCCCGTTTCGAAAGAGCTTGTACTCATGGTATTTGCATATCCTTTTTCGGAACTTCAGCGTATTCTAGATATAGCCTTACTCTGCACACATACCTTTGCTGGTGTATGTATCCAAATAGCAGGATTAAAAAGGATGTGATCACACAATTGTTTCAGTAATGGTGCTCCATGTGACAATCCATCAAGATATTTTGCAAATGACAAAAATTGTTCCAGAACTGCCCTGGTTATATGAACTCTAGATGACTGAACAAAAAAAAAAAATCAGAAAAAAGATAACTCTGTACTGGGGTAATATTTAATAAGCAAAAATAAAAATGATGCATTATCCATACAGACAAGAATAAAAGCAGAGTAATGCATGTACATTTTTATAACTCATACTATTGGTCTCACACAGAGAAGAAAACTATGCTTTGATCCATACGGTTTCCATTTTCATACGAGGAATACTGTGTTCATTACTGTGTGGGAGTGGGGAGGAGAACAGAAGTTTCAAACTGTTCTATAATTAAAATATCCTCATGGAAATTGATTACAGAATAAAGATAAAAATGGCAAACACAAAGGTGGGTATTGGATCATTCATTAAAGTGTTTGCAAATTGCCAAAAGTATTTTAGATTAAGTTTAAATTTTCATATTTATAAAAAGGCAGTTCTATTAAAAAACACTTGCACTGTGCTGAAAATAAGATTTTTTTTAGAATTAATGTTAAATTAAAACAAAGAAATACAGAACAGATAATGGTACTTTTTATAAGAGTTGTGGAACAATCTTTTAGAATTAAAAAGCTATTTTAATTCCTCTATTCCATTTTAATAGAAAAATCCTAACCAAATTTCATCTCCAAATAAAGAAGATCAAATCGAGGAAAAATTGGATTAATATTAATGGTATATGATGTCTGGTATTTTCATGTGGAATTTGTGACCTGGCAGGAATAATAAGAGCATCCCTCCATATTACTGGCCAACACAGAGAAAAATAGTGACAATTCTTGGGGGGGGGGGGGAGATTTATTTATAACCTCATAACTTAATGATTTGCAAATGCTCTAAATCATAAGGATTTGTAGTCATTTTTTTAAAGAGCTATCCTATCTAAAATAAATTATGTATGTGGCCATCCTGATAATTATAGCACTAGCCCAGATGCTTGCCAGCTCAACTCATGCAACTGGTCAAAACTGATGTGTTGCTCAGAACAGAAAAGGTGGAAATGATCAGTCAATGCCTTCTTTGAATTTCTGATTGGAACTCACTTCTCCCATGGTGATGAACCATTTGTGATGGGTCCATCCTCAGAAAGCAATGTAATCGGTAAAATTTCAGGAGTCTTTATATGAAAATACGGTTATATTAACAGACCCACATTTATGAATTGGTGGAATTTCATAATGCATTTTGTCCCCAGCCATCAACAAAATGCCCCTAAGTTTCCTCTTTCACATCTTCATCTTTATAGGTTATATAAGTTTACAACAATGGGATTAGGTAGCAGTGTGAGTAGAATGTAGATGCTGTCATGGAGCAAAATTAATGTTCTTTTCCTTGAACTGCCAAGACAAAATACTTTAAAATTACCTTGACGAGCCCAAGACTTTGAACTAATAAAGTTTCGGTCAGTGAATTCATTTCAAGTGATAGTTTGGTTATTCGAAACAGTCTTCATGTAACTGCTGATACAAGCACTTTTCATTACGGGGAAAATTATGGACAAAAAAAATCACAAGAATTTTGTCTGTACTACTACAAGGGCAAGATAAGCTTTTAATGGTAAGCATGCTACATCTGCTTGGAGATGTTGACATTGTATGTTCCAACAGCATTGATTGGGATGATATATTCTCCTTGGTTGGCAAATACATGTAGACAAGTGCTGGTAAGAATGTCCATTCCTTCCTGAGTCAAGGAGGCAGGTAATGGATCACACTTTACATGAAATCAAGTTTTGGATTCACTCCTCAATCACTCATAAATAACCCAAGCTTAGCAGACTTTAGAATATACTGTAATGCAAGACTCATTTCCTTCCCTAGATATGAAGAAATGTAAAGACTTTGGAAGGGGATTGTTCCTAATGGAAGTCGATTCATTATTATTTTTGTTTTGTTATAGGTTGAAGGGACCTTACATTTGTTTATTCAAAATTGTATATTTAAGGAATTTTCAAGGTTGTCTAAAAGAAGAAATAATTACTGATTTCTGCTGTACATTGCATAAAATAAACAAAAAGGGATCTGAAGAGAACTTTTAAAGGGCGCTCATTATGTTTAAACTTGGTTTTCTATTTTTGCACAACATATGAGGAGTAAGACTGATCTGAGCTTAAACGGAAGTTACTAATACTTTTGAGAAAAGAAAAAAAGAATTTCTGAACATTAGTACAAGACGTGACATACCAGTGCAGAAAAGAAAAACATCCTTTATGTAAACAGCATAAAAATATTTAAATTACAGAACTTCCTATATACTTACTAATGCACAGGACTAAATTCTAGGAGCAGAAAAATACATGACTGAAAATATTCAGCCAGGTTTTCAAAATGATGGTGGAAATACTAAGAGTAATATTAGTAACACTCACCTTTTCAAGGAGGTAGCCAATGACTAAAAAGCCTTTCCCTCCCAGCATTTGCTCTTGCATGGCTACTGAACTCTTAAGAAGTTCGACCAGGAAAGCCAAAAGGGTGGCACTGCATGTAAAGTACAAGCGTTTTAGATTTAAAATGTTCTAAAAGCAATCTATTTTGTTTTTACTAGTTATCAGTTAAGTGAATAGAAAGAAAAATAAAAATAACTTGAAGCCTAAGTATGACATTAAAAATTTCACATTTTATGTTGTACACTTTTAGTTTATTATTCACATATTACAATATTTTTGCAATAATATTCAAACTAGGAGCGGTGAACGTATATGTCAGCTCTCCTAATTTAGCCCGGACTGCCCCATATTTTAGGACCTTGTTATCAACTTCCAGAACTGTTATCAAACTCTTGGGCAGTTGGATGAGGCAAAAACTAATGAGTGAAATCCAGGTGATAGAACTGGATTGGTGAAGACATGGGGCTGTGTCAGCAATCTTTTAAATCAGTGGTTCTCAACCAAGGGCATGGGGCCCCCTGAGGAGCTGTGAGCAGGTTTCAAGGGGTCCACCAAAGTAAGCTAGAACACAAGGCTGGTGTTTGACTTATTGGGCCCGAGAGCAGAAAGCTGAAGTCTGAGCCCTGCTGCACGGTGGTTGAAGCCACAGCCTGAGCAAAGCTTTCAGGGGCCCTGAGCAGTTGCCCTGCTTTCGTCCCCTGATGTTGGTCCTGACTTTTAAGCTATTGAATATGCAGATAAACAGTTGTGGTATGGTCAGGGAAAAGATTTTTATAGCATGTTGGAGGCCTCAGGAAGACAATGGTTGAGAACCCCCCTTTTAAATTTTCAAGTCAAGAAGAATCTTGTAAATGTCAGAAAAACCTGTGGCTATTATCATTTCAGACTCTAGTTACTACTAAAGCTGATATGGATTCATGCAGACAACAAAATCCATAACAGAGAACGATGGAGCATTGGTGTTGAGTGTTTCCTTCATACTTCCACCCCAAACAATCATGAGGACAAAGCCCAGGCATCAATACTTGGTCCCACAACATGGTCCAATATGTACCTCCGTATGGGCTAAAGATTCATTTAGGAAAAGCATAGAGAGACTAAAAAAAGAGTCACGAAAAGACTGTTAAGGAACAGAAGAAAATATGGGAGACAATACAGAAGACAGACTGGCCAAAAAATGCGAAAATATATATTGTGAGGACACAGAGTGATTGACAGAGAGATGTGAGAAACTAATTAATTGAGAGTGAGAAAAATCAATTAACAAAGCTTGATCTGAGCAATGTACCAAGAGAAAGAAACGCATTAATGAGGTGGAGCCACAGGAAGGAAAAGAAATGTATCCGCATGTTTCCCATAATAGGGGAAAATAGGAACTCTTGGTGTAGATAAAGAGGAACAATTTTTTTCCCCCACTGGACAATTTTTCAAAAAAGCCAGAGAACTGCTGGAGAGTTGCAAATCAATTGTATTGAATTAAAGGCAGGGCCTTAAGTATAACTATTAACCTTCTGAAAAGAAAGTAATACAAAATTAATCCAAATGTACAGGTAAATATCTGTCTCCATATATTTGGTTTGTTATAAGAATTCTCCATGGAAAATTAATTTGCATACTGGCAACTGTGGAAGAATGAATTAAAGAAAATATTAAATCTACACTTTACAAATGTAAATGTTAAAGAACCTAACCAGACAAAGGTTCTATGCTCTTCAAACCCAAATTTTTTATTTTTGAATGCATTTGAGACCAGTCAATCCATACCAACCCTAAAAAAATTATCAGCATGATGAGGGGAACAGGAATCAGTATTCCTGGTGAGCAGTGCTGGTATGTGAAAGTACATAGTGTAGTCAGAATGCATGCTGTGAACAGGATAGAATGTCTTGTCTTGCTTCATTATTTTATGGTCACAATAATCAGTATAAAGCCACATACAGTATTCTCCACAAATTGTCCGCAGTAAAGAATACAGACAATATCCAATTACAGTATACACAAGCTTTTAATAAAATCAGTCTTTCAAATGGTCATTCATTTCAAATGAAGCTAAATTCATCAGCTTTATTTTTTATCCTGCTAGAAAAATACTGTAATTTAGTAAGTATATCTATAGTGAACAACTTTCTTCACTACAAGCTCAGGAGAGGCAACCTTTGTTTTACAAAGCTAACATACAACATTTCAGATCAAACAATTTTATTTCTAAATATAGGTGAAACTATTCACAATCTAAGATACCAATCCTGCATCGATGTTATACCCCTTCTTAATACTATGCATTGTGGACAGTCCCCTTGACTTCACAGGACCACTCACTATATGTAAAGTTCAAGAAAAAAACATAAATCATAGAAAAATTAAGCCCTAGTGTTATAATCATGAATGGAATTGACATAAAATCAGAAGTTATTATTAGAAATTATAATGATTGATGGACTGTTTACTAAGGGAAAATTGGGACTCAGAATACCTGGGTCCCCCAGCTCTACTAGTGATCTACTATGTGATCCTGGGCAAGGTACTTGGCCTTTCTGTACCTCTAACCATTTGTCTGTCTTGTTTATTTTGATTGTGAAATCATTGATAAAGGACTTACACTCATCATATATTCATACTGTCTTTAGAGCTATGGGTCCCTAGTTTCACATGGAGCCTCTGCACACTACTGCAGTATAAATATATATACACACCATAACCACAATCACAACAAACAAAAACTTGGTATTTTATCAGTGGAAACCATTAGTACCACACAGAATCAAATCTTGGTGAGAGAACATAGTAATGAGCTGCTGCAAACCTCAAATATGAAAATTACAAGCACCAGAAAAATTAGATGTTAAATAGAGGCACCTCACATTCACCTAAAGATACAAACAACAGCGAGTTTGGGGCAATTACTGTGTAAGACAACAGAATTGATCACATTTAGCCTCACAGTTAAACATAACTAATGAGAAATGGTTTATATATATTTCTAAACAGAACACAGAGCTATTACAGAGGATAACATCTCAAATGGCACAAAAGATCTGTTAAAGTCACTCCACAAATGTTTTTCAAATGCCACTGCACATACAGCATAGAAATGACATGATTAAAGGAAAGGACAGAAAACTACATGCTTGGTCTAAGTTTGTTGTGGAAGTCTTGTGAGCATGTTTCAGTCATTAGCTAGTGAAAGGGACAGATTAATATTTTGTACAGGAACCATTATTTAAGATAAAGAGGACAGATACAGGCCTATCCTCTTTTATGCTCTGTACATTATCTAACATGTATGTTTCATACAATAGGAAGTTTTATCTGCCTACCTGAAGGAACTAACAGTTACACATTAGATGCTTCCTCCTTTTAACCACCCATATAAGATACACTTTAACATCTGTCCAGCCTGACTTCCCAACCAATTATACAGATAGCCCTAGAATAAATAAGTGATATTCTCTCTGACACTAAATTCTAAGCATTGCGTTCAAGAAAGTGAGGATCATCTCATCAGAGGATTAGGCTTCTAGTTTTAAAATACTGCATATTTCTAAAGCTAGTCAAATTTAATTATATTAAGTCGGCCATTCAAAATGTTAGCAAATGAGCTACAAGTGAAAACTTTAAAGAATTCATCAGCAGAACCATGAAGCCAAAAAGAAGCTTTAAAAATGGTTTCTGTTGACATAATGGAAGTAATATTGTTTAGAAGGCCATCTTCCAAGATGAACATTTTTCAAACAGAATTTAACAAACTTACCAGAAACTAAAATGCATCGGATTGCTTCAGGGTCACATTAAACTTGCAAAATTCTGTTCACTGCCATACAAAATTTCTCTCCATTCTTGCCTATTTCCAACTCCCCTAGATACAAAGGCAAATATAAAGGATACTTCAGCCCATTCCTACATCTCCTCTATACCATGTCCCATCTAGAACACATCAGGTTGTCTGCACAACAGCTAAAATATACAATATACACAATGGCAAGTATACATGTAAACTAATACAGAAGAAAACAGATTCTGTGATTTAAAAAAATCTGGTGATCTCAGAATATCAGCAATATTTTTCAATCCACATATGGAAATTGCCACACTTTTCAATGGATGATACTACATCTCTTATTTTAGATTTAGTAAGTATTGGAGATGATAGTCTCTGGAGGATTATATGTACTTTATCATAATTAGTAATTTAGTACACCTTTTTTTCCAAAAGTATGTCAACAAGTGTACTCTTGGAAGGGTAAGTAAGGTTTTAACCAAAAAGACTGAGATATTTCTCAGAAAATGTATGCACTATGGGAATAAATTTTGGGCTCAATATGGAGACAAAGATGCCCTTTATATTTGCACTTGTTAATTATTCTTCCTATATAATTTAGGCACAACAAAATTTGTTTTGACATTTATTATACAGTTGGTATATTTATTATTTAGCTTTTCTATAAACTGATTCCCCACATTTAGAAACACTGATTCAATATGAATGCCTTGTGTGTGTAAATCATCTTATGTTGAAATAGTTTCCAAAAATCTACTTAGCAATGCTATCCTTTAAACAGAAGCGTGACAACTTACAGTCAAACAGATTTGGGATAAGGGATTTCATAATGCTATAATCCTCATTTCTTAAAACAAAACAAAAAAAGTAACTTTTGCTTATGGCAAGTAATGCAATCAACATAGCTTCTTGTAAAGTTCATTCAAGTTGCCTATTCAGACATGTAAACATTTTCAAGTAATAAAGACAATTCATTCTTAGCAGTTGAAGATCCCACCTCTGTGGACTATACTGAATGAATCAATGAACAATAAACAATTTTCTTTAATAAATCCTACATTAAATATTGTTTCCCCCCTCTTAGATCAATTAATTATCAGATCATCAAACAGGCCTATCCATTATCCATATCAAACAAAAATGCTTCAATAGACCTCCACGGGGGGAGGAGGGGAGTAGAGAAGAAACTTGTAAAGATGATAATATGCTTTGGAGATAATGAACATAAGAACAGTCATAGTGAGTCAGACCAAAGGACCATCTAGCCCAGAATTCTATTTTTCAATGGTGGCCAATTCCATGTAGCTGAGAGT